AAAATATTTCTGGTATGATTAGCATTCATTAATAGAATACATATCAATTTAATCATTTTATGTTTAGCTTTGAAACGTAAATTACAGTTATTTTTTAATATTGAGTTTGATGGAAATCTTTTTTGTTCGAACATGAGATAGAAAACAATCGGTGCAGTTAATAACGCAAACATGGTATTTACACTTAGTAACATAACACTTAAATTTTTGGCTACAATACGTTTATTTGAATTATGTGCATCTGTCATTGTTGTAACAACACTAATAAATATGACAATTGAACATAAAAACATTAGTGTAAATGGTAAATAGACGTTAACTGTAGCATCAATATAAATCCAAACATTATAATAAAAATCACGATATTTAATATTGTGTTCTGATGAACATTGAACAACGTTTATATCAATAGCAGCATCAACAAGATGATAGATTGATGATGAAGGAGGAGAAGTTAGATGATCATGAATTATATAATTACTAGAATTTTCTATTGACAATATATGTGATGATAGAGAATCATGCCAAGTGATATAATGACTAGAATTTTACAAAAAACTAAATAAATAACTTAAGAGAAATATTGACACAAAGAAAAGGACTAATCTTGCATGCACTTCAAAAGTTAACATTACAATAGAATCAGTGATCCACTATACAGTCAGGGTAAGAAGTATACCTTACCCTCTGGATCTCAAAAACCAAAATAGCTAATGATTTCTAAATCTTGTATGAATGTAGACCTAGTCATATGCTGATCATCTCATCATCTCATCAATGTCAAAGCTTCTGTTACTAGATGATGTATGAGGTATAACAATATCATTTCTTTTTGGTATGCTAATAATCCAAGATGAACGAAGAGTTAATATTTGCATCAAAATCAAATCATGACTCTTTCTTCTATTCACGGTATTAATTTAATGAATTGATTGTTAATAATTACTAAATTATAAATACAGCAATATTACGAGAGTCAGTCATTTTTTTTTTTTTTTGAAAATCAAGATCCCTTTTCAAAAATGAAATTTATAATTTATCCTGGAAACATTTTTTTATTACCCTTGAGTAACAACATATCGGTCAAAACATACGCCTTTCTGACAATGTGTCATCTACATTTTCAAGTCAAAAGAATATTCCCATTTTGCTTTATGAATTATTTTTAAAAAGAATCTCGAATTTTCAAAATAAACTAATTTTGCATTGTGAAACAAAGATACCTTTAATTATGAATTATTAGCATTTTTCCAGAAAGAAATGACATCGTTATATCTCACATCCCATCTAGTAACAGAGATCTACATTGATGAGATGATCAGTATAGGATGAGATCTACATTCACACAATATCTAGAATCTTTTTAAAATAAATCAGAGCGTTTAATATTTACGATATATAAATCATTTATATTACCTGGAATGAGCACCATAGTTTGATGATTGTGTTGGTGTATATTTTCTATCTTTTGATGATGAATACTTATTGTCATAAAAGAAAAATTGTACATTTAATAGAAATAAAAAAGTAAAGATAATTAATAATACAATGTATGTTAAACGTGTTTTTTTTAATTTTCGTACACGAGTTAATGCAACAACACGATCAAGTGACACAGCTGTTAATATCCATGCACTTGTTTGTGGAAAAAAATAAATTGAAAATGAATAAAGTTTACATGCAAATAAAGAATATTGTTGAATATCAATTTGAAACCAAGAATGTATCATAAAATTAAAACAAAATGTATATAAGACTAACAAGTCAATTAT